TGCTGTTGCTGTTGCTATTGCTGCTGTCACATATTTTTGGCAACACAAATTTTGGAATTTTTAATGAATTTCAAGTCGTTGTCATCGTCATTGCAAATGTCCCCCGCCCCGCCCGCCGCTGTTGCTGCTGCCGTTGCCGTTGCATATTTGTGTGCGCTGAAAAGTATGCAACATCTGATGTGTGCTGGCCAGGGCGGGCCAGGGCGGGACAGACAAGACTGGACATGCTGGACGGACGAGACAATCGGGACAGACCTGGCCCGGCATGCCAGTGGTTGCTGTGGCCAAAAGCAAACCTAACCACAGCACAATGTCCAGCTGTGGGCACTGGACGGCGGCTTTTGCGGGCGTGGCACGCAATTAGCCAGACTGTCAGGCAAAGTGTTTTTTTGGCAACCCGCCTCGCCTCGCCTCGCCTCGTCTCGCCCCTCATCCCACCCCAACTCGTTTTTTCCACATTAGAATTGCTAATTGGCACAAAGTTTTGTGCATTTGCTGCAGTTTCTTCCAATGCAAGACATAAATTGCATTCAACTGAGACATTTGTTTGAATATATGTATATCTGCATACATATATATATTATATGCATATTTTTATATAAGTGGGCAGATTGTAATTGCAATTGCTGAAACGCCCGTTTGCCCCCCAGAGGGCAAAAGATTTGTTAGTCAAGCTAATCAACAGCAGGGGGCAGAGCTCGACCAGAGCTAGGCAAAGCTTGGCAGAGCTTGGCAGAGCTTGGCCACTCTCTGAACGAATGCGTCAAATCATATTGAATAAAACATTATTATTTGAATACAAATTTCCTCAATTTCATGCACACAAGAATTCCAATGAAATTCGTTTAAAGCGTCTCTTCGAAATTCATTCACATATCCCAAATGGAATTTCATCCACATGCCAGAAAATTAATTTTGACTGACTTTAAGGTATTCGCCCTTTGTTATTATTAATTATGGACAACAAATAAGTTTATCTCCACAAAAAATATGAAAAGAAAATATTAGATATTAATAAATATATGTATTTAATTCTGATAAT